GATGTCTTTAGTTTTTCTGTAACATTTACCGTTAACGTTGTACGCCATTTTGAATATTTCCTTTGATCTTTTAAAATGCTGACAATATGTTAAAACTTCAACGATTTTCTTCTCCAATTCTGCCATTGCAATATTAACCACAATTGGTACATGTATTCCTATAGGGGCCCTTACGAACTTATGTTACATTTTGGAGCCATTAATATTCCAAGATGGCCGCCACGAACTCTGATTGGTTAACAGCCTATACCAATATATTTCGTTATCGATATCAAACACGAGGTTGATCTTTGAATATCATATAGAGATAGCCAAGAGCAAACTTTTTCTTTCATACTGTTTTAACAAAAAATGTCAACTTCCGATTCTCAGCAGGGGTCAAAGTTAAAATGCACTATATTGGGTACCAACCTTAAAAAATCTTCTTCTTCAGTTCCACAAGGTCTAGAGCCCTACTATTTCATACATAACATGATCAGGTAATTGGCTATCAAGTTTGAAAATATGAATGACCTTGACCAATGTTCAAGGTCACTGGGGTCAATTATGTTAAAATCTTCAAAAGACTCCTTCTCAATAACGGAAATGGCCAGGGTATTGATATTTGGTCTGTAGCATGCTAGGATGATGTGCTACATGGTTAATGGAAATAAATAACCATTAAAGATCAACTTCCGGTATTTGATAGAGGTCAAATTCGAACATGTAATTTTACCAGATACCAGGACTTTTACTACTGGTGTAAGGGAAGTAACCCTTACAGTGAAAAGCCCGTCAAATTGTTAGCCAACAATTTCTAGTAAAATATATATTTGTTAATTTGTGATATCAATAGCCATTATTAGCTCACCTGGTCCGAAGGACCAAGGTGAGCTTATGTCATACTGTTGCGCCCGTCCGTCGTCCGTACGTCAACAATTTCTTTAAACGACTTCTACTTCTTAACCACTCATTGGAATTCAACTAAATTTAACTGGAAGCACCCCTAGGTGATGGGGATTCAAAATTGTACAAATGGTGTGGCTGACCCCCAAGGGGGCTGAGGGGCGGGGCCAAAAGGGGTAAATTCCGCTATATTACTTTAAGCGACTTCTCTGGAACTAAGAAGTCAATATCAACCATATTTGACTGGTAGCATCACTAGGTGGCGGGGATTCAAAATTGTACAAATGTTTGAGTTGATCCCCCAGAGGGCTGAGGGGCGGGGCAAAAAGGGATCAATTTTGCAATATTGCTTTAAGCGACTTCTCTGGAACTAAGAAGTGGATATCAACCATATTTGACTGGAAGCATCCCTAGGTGGTGGGGATTCAAAATTGTACTAATGATGGGGCTGACCCCCCAGGGGGCTGAGGGGTGGGGGGCAAAAAGGGGACAATTTGGCTATACTGCTTTCGGCAACCTCTTCTCTAAACCTAAGAGATGGATATCAACCATATTTGACTGGAAGCATCCCTAGGTGGTGGAAATTCAAAATTGTACAAATGGTGGGGCTCACCCCCCAGGGGGCTGAGGGGCGGGGCCAAAAGGAGTCAATTTGACTATATTGCTTTAAGCGACTTCTTCTCTGGAACTAAGAAGTCGATATCAACAATATTTGACTGGAAGCATCCCTAGGTGTCAGGGATTCAAAATTGTACAAATGATGGAGCTGACCCCCCAGGGGGCTGAGAGGCGGGGCAAAAAGGGGTCAATTTTGCAATATTGCTTTAAGCGACTTCTTCTCTAGAACTAAGAAGTGGATATCAACCATATTTGACTGAAAGCATTCCTAGGTGGTGGGGATTCAAAATTATACAAATGGTGGGGCTAGGCCCCCAGGTGGCTGAGGGCGGGGCCAAAAAGGGGTCAATTTGGTGATATTGCTATAAACGACTTCTTCTGTAGAACTATGCCATGGATATTGATCATATTTAGTCGGAAGCATTCATGGGAGGCAGGGATTCAAAATTGAACAAATGTTGGGGCTGACCCTCCGGGCTAAGGGATGGGGCCAAAAAAAGTGTATTACTTGGAAATGGTTGAGATCCCCACCATATAACCATGGTATACAATTGCTGAGTATAAAGAGAAGAATGCACATTTGCTTCCAGGATGGCTAAAGAGTCTGGCCCCACCCTTGGAGACATAGTCCCTGGGCCATAACTTTAAAACTGTTGAGATCCTCACCCCAAAACTATATATACAAATGCTGGGCATAAAGAGACGAATGCAGTCATGATATCAGAATAGACCCTTGGGTCTGACCGAACCCCTAGGGACCTAGTTTGTTAGTCACAGCTTAGAAACAGTTGAGAGCCCCATCCTATAACGGTATATACAATTGCTGAGTATAAAGAGATGATTGCACATATGCTTCCAGGATGGCCTTGGGGACTGCCCCACCCTTGGAGACTTAACCCATGGGTCATAACTTCGAAATGGTTTAGATCCCCACCCCAAAACTATATATACAATGGTTGGACATAAAAAGACAAATGCAGTCATGATATTAGAATTGACCCCAGGGTCTGCCCCTACCTTGCAGACTTAACCCCTGGGTCATAACTTTGAAACGGTTGAGATCCCCACCCCAAAACTATATATACAAATGCTGGGCAAAAAGAGACAAATGCAGTCACGATATTAGAATTGATCCTGAGTCAAAGCTTGGAAACAGTTGAGATCCCCACCCCCATACATAAAATTGCTGGGCATGAAAAATCTAATACAGATATGCTACAAGGATTGGCCTTGGGGTCTGGCATATTCCCTTGATCTCATTCGGAGAATACTTTGCCATGATTGCCAGGTGAGCGATACAGGCCATCGGGGCCTCTTGTTTTAATATATATGTACATCACTATTTACTGTTAATTTTTCTAATAAAATGTATCCAACCAGTATACATCGGACAGTTTTGCCATTCTTTACATGTTCTAACAGTCTGAAGAAATTCGGATCTTTCCACCATTATCCAAGGCTTCTGCTCTTGGTACACATATCTTCTATGCACCCCTGCAATATATCATGACAAAACCTAAGACTCTTTACGAACACCTTGTCTATGGTATATGAAGACGTATCTGATGTCGTCATTAAAGAGAAAAGGAATCCCCCTGCAGCATAACTGTAAAATTTACAGACGTTCAAGTTGGATGTGGCTCCTCTTTTATCTTTAAGGACAGCCAGGTATCATTTTAGCGATTGGTTGGGTCTTCATATCTGAAACCAATCAAACAACTTACAACGAGCCTCTGATTTTGTCATGATAGCTAGTGCATAGACGATAGTTTTATTGAAAGCAGGACCGTTGGGTTTCGAAAAAGAGTCTTGTCATAAATGTGTGACGGAGATATGTCTGAAAATAGTGTACATCGCCAGTCGTGATCATATTAGCAGAAAACATTGTTTTGTTGGTGTCATAAGTAAAGATATTTTTTTTGGACAATAAGTTGATTAAGAGGCACGGAATTAACTTAATTCAGAAGAAATTAAACATGCATATATGACGTTAACAAATTGAGTTTGAGGCATACAAATTAACACTACAGAACACCTGATGTCGAGATATGATTCTGATAGGCAAATCAATAGTTATAAAATATCTTCTTTATCAACATTTACACATTTGTTCTCAGGACTAACCTAACCAAAACACTATTAAATAAATTCAAAATATACTTGTTATGAATACCTAAGGAAAGCCTAGTTGCTAAAATAAAAAGAGAAGCCCTTTTTAATAAGAACAAAGAATGTGGTTTAAAGGCAATGGTTTAGAAATAAATGTCTCAAAGATTCAAAATTTACAGACATTACTGTTTAATGAAATAATGGCAAAAACTGCTTATTCCTGGAAATACATTTATTTCATATAATATAAAAACAAATCCTGCATTGACGTTTTACATGCTTGGAACAATATAATGAAGAAAACAAAAATATCGCAATATTGCCTTTTTATATTTATGCGATTAAAATAGGAAATTATACTGTATATTGTAACCATTGGTTTGATAAAGGTATGCAGTTTATAAAGGATTAAATCGAGGCTAATTGCAGTTTCATCAAACGTGATGATTTAATGAACATGACCTGAATGCAATTGATTATATGGTAGCTTCGTACCACTATTGTAAGCTGGACGTGAGACATCTATCTAGCTATTGGTTTGCGTCCACTGCTGTTGTTATTGTAAGGCTTTGGTCAGACTGTTTGTCATCACTTGGAGGAAATCATTTCCATTGTTTCAACGGGTTCTTTGTCTTTGATTTCTATAGATTTCCGTAACAGCTCCTCTCTCTGAAAATAAGTTTAAAAAATCAAATTAATACATTTTCTGGAAATCCCATCAACTCATCCAAAAGATGTAATCGAAAAGGGTCTGTGAAATTGTTATGTTGGTTTCTAGAGGTATACTACCATGTTAACCCCAGCCATCTTCAAAATGTAAAGGTTACGCTCTTGGTATACTTCTTTGCAACATTGGAGTATGTCATGACAAAATGGAAGACTAGCGGTAAGGCATTTGAATGGTTTCGGGTATAAAAACCTTACCAATCGCTGGGCTGATACATGTCCTGTTATGGACAGAGTACAGAGTAGCTACACCAACTTCAAAGCCTATCAAATCTTTGGCCTTCATCGAATGCATCAGTCTAGTCTACTTGTATTGCAATCAGCTTGTCACGAAAAGAGTTTTCCATTATGTCATGGCATATTCTAAGAGTGTAGAAAAAATGTATATCGGTAGCGGACCCTTTGGTTTTAGATATGGTTAACGTTTAAGAGTTTTTGAATGCTATTACTGAAAGATTTGACAACATCTTTGTGTAAAAGACTGGCAAACGAGGCCATTGTTCAGGCAGGAAGCCAGTCAGTGCTAAGCCAATGCGATCAATAACAGTATTGTGCATACATTTCATTGAGACCAACTCGAGCTGCCGTCAATTCAAGAAGCTTTAAAAGAGTAGAATGGCGAATGGCATCTTCGACACTAAATTAATTACTGAGTATTCCAGTAAGATTATGATTATCTTTTGTGTACTGCAACTGTGGTTCTATATAGGTGTGATGAAAGGTGTTTGTGTTGCAAATACCACTATATTGGCAATTGGGTACACGGAATCCTCGATACTCTAGGAGTTAGGCTCTCTCTCGCTCTCTACAAAGTAATCGTAACCCCTTTAGTACCTAAATAGATATACCGGAGAAATCTCATTTCTCTGTCGTGAATTGAAGATTTGATAAATCTAAAAAGTTAAGTATTGCAAGTCATCACTGCTTTAGTTACGAACAAACTATCCAGACAAAAGAAATTCCAGTGATATCACAGGAGTTGCCTGTTATAAAAAAAAAAATACAAAGTTGAAAAAAATAACAAACCACCTAGTTCTTTTTATACAAGGACATGAAGATTTGTTTTTCGTTTTAGCTTTGATGCTTTATATAACGACAACGGTTACCTTTTCAAATGGTACTCTGAAATGAAGAAATTGCTTTGCTGCCTTTGGAAGAAACGGTAACAGCTGTTCGCCTATAGGCAACATATATCGCACGTCTATAGTTTCCGGTTTGGGGCGCTCTGTTAAACAGATTGGATACATTGTGTTTCAAAATTAAAAGAATAAAAAGTCCATCGTATATATGTATTACCTTCCTGAATCAAAATGGTACTGCAGACTCTCCTACATCAGCTGTGCATATAGATCTTTATTCACAATATGACTAAAAACGACGGCACTATTTAGCAGCCACAGAATATAACGAGGAAATTCCAGCGGCCCGAATAACTCCGGGACGCGCTTGATACTGTAATAAGGCAACAACGAGCGTGGCCATTGGCCGGATTGAAGACAAACTGTTGTCCAAGATGGCTGCCTGGCGACCATTTTTTATCAGCCTTAAAATGAAACATGCACAACTTAGAACCTATGAATATCCTATCTAACTATGACGTCCACAAGCACGTCACACTCCATCGACCTTCATCGGTTATTGCCGGAAGGATGAAAAATAACCGGAAAATCTTGGAACTGATCTTTGTCTCTTTGTCGGTGCTTCATGACTTTTTTATTTCAGTTTTTGCCACAGGCACAAAAAGTGCAAATGCAAATGTTTTCTGAAAATTCTTTTTGTCATCAACCAGGTTCTGTTAATATTTCTACATATCTTCAAAAAGAGCCGCATTAAACCAATAGGTCAACGTGTTCATTGTTTTCATGGTCTAAAATTTCATCAGCTTTTGATTTCCATTTTCAGTTCAACTGGTCGGAAGGAAATTCTTTAAAATCCTTCTCATTCTGTAGGAATGAAAGGATTTAGTCCATATTTGGTCTGAAACATTCTTCGGTGAAGGGGGACCAATTTTGTATAAATGGTTGGTGTGGCCCCCCTGGGGGCCGAGGGACTGGGCCCAATAGGGGAAATATAGCAAATTCTTTAAATTCCTTCTCCTTCTGTAGGAATGACAGGATTTATTCCTTATTTAGCCTGAAGCATCCTTGGGTGAAGGAGTACCAATTTTGTATAAACCATGGGTCTGACCACGCAGAGGATTTAATTCTTAATATGGGAGGAAGATGGAGTATCCGGAGAAAACCCGCGTGGTAGGAATTGCTTCTTTTCTTTTATGGTCAAACGTGTAACACACTGACAGCTTCAAATATATACATAAAAGCCAAGCCAAGCACTCACTGCCATATTGTTGTACGATAACAGTTTATTGAAATATCAATTTGGGCCCGGACAGGTTCGGCCAATGATATCGTGGCAAATTCGGCCTATGTAACGCATACAAATTCGTAAAATTGGCGGTAAAATCTGACTTTGCATGCTTTATGACGTCATAATTAAGCCGATTCAAATGGGGGCCGAACTTACCCTAATGCCTGTCCGAACTTATCCAATGGCAGGGCTCGTTCGGCCATCCGATCCTCAAACAGGGAAAATTTCATACCGGGTAATGTTCAAAAACGGATGTGCTGCCATACTTCCCAGAAAGGACTTTAATAAACATGGACCGAACTTGCCGTGATCTCCTCTATTGTTATGTCGGTCTTAATATCATTAGAGCTTATGTTTTATTGTTATTCCTCGACTAGCCGACTTTAAATAAAGTTTATCTAATCTCATTCTGAAAGCAGTATTCTGAATCAGTAGATATCAGAGATCAACAAAAGCTACACTCTTTAAGGCTTTGCCTTCTCATATTAGCGCTAACAATTTTGCTCTTACGATTCAGAGCTTGTCTATGTATCGTCTCTGTATTCAGATTAGTTCAAGAAAGCAATATGCATGATATTGGACCATCAGGAACCTTCATATGAAAATTAAATATATCACATTCCTCCAACATTCTATGAGAAACAGGGCTAAGAAACTCTAACTCCAAAAACTCCTTAGTCCTTCAATTTAATATGCATAGCAAGGGACCATTTTAAATTTGCAAAAATCCATCCAGTAATTCTGCCAAATAGCGCTAACAAACTTTCAAAAGGGGGGAGAAAGGAAAACCTCATGTGAAATTTCAGAAAAATCCCTGCAGTACTTGCTGAGAAATAGTGCTAACAATAATTGTTTAAGGACGGATGGAATAACGGACGGACGACTTACCATGATGATTATTACATGAATAGGACTTTCTTTACAGAATTGCTAATGTTACATGTATAAATCACTAAATTGACAACAAACCGCTTTGCACTGATGGTATAACATCAACGTTTTGTATCCTCAATCTCTCCATACATTTGTTTGCCGACGATTATTTTCAATTGGAAATTGACAAAATAAACAAGATATTTTCTGTTGGGGAAAATGTAACTGAGGTAATGGGTAACACTGCACCGGTTGTAATATAACAGAGGTAATGGGTAACACTGCACCGGTTGTAATATAACTGAGGTAATGGGTAACACTGCACCGGTTGTAGTATAACTGAGGTAACGGGTAACACTGCACCGGTTGTAATATAACAGAGGTAACGGGTAACACTGCACCAATTGTAATATAACTGAGGTAATGGGTTACACTGCACCGATTGTAGTATAACTGAGGTAACGGGTAACACTGCACCGGTTGTACTAAACAGAGGTAATGGGTAACACTGCGCCGGTTGTAATATAACTGAGGAAATGGGTAACACTGCACAGGTTGTAATATAACTGAGGTAACGGGTAACACTGCGCCGGTTGTAATATAACTGAGGAAATGAGTAACACTGCACCGGTTGTTATATAACTGAGGCAATGGGTAACACTGCACCGGCTGTAATGTAACTGAGGTAATGGGTAATACTGCACCGGTTGTAATATAACAGAGGTAACGGGCAACACTGCACCAATTGTAATATAACTGAGGAAATGGGTTACACTGCACCGATTGCAGTATAACTGAGGTAACGGGTAACACTGTACCGGTTGTAATATAACTGAGGTAATGGGAAACACTGCACCGGTTGTAATGTAACTGAGGTAATGGGTAACACTGCCCCGGTAGTAATATAACTAAAGTAATGGGTAACACTGCACGGGTTGTAATATAACTAAGGAAATAGGTAACACTGCACCGGTTGCAATATAACAGAGGTAATGGATAACACTTCACCGGCTGTAATATAACAGAGGTAATGGGTAACACTGCGCCGGTTGTAATATAACTGAGGTAACGGGTAGCACTGCACCAATTGTAATATAACGGAGGTAATGGGTTACACTGTACCGATTGTAGTATAACTGAGGTAATGGGTTACACTGAACCGATTGTAGTATAACTGAGGTAACTGGTAACACTGCACCGGTTGCAATATAACAGAGGTAATGGGTAACACTGCCCCGGTAGTAATATAACTAAAGTAATGGGTAACACTGCACGGGTTGTAATATAACTAAGGAAATAGGTAACACTGCACCGGTTGCAATATAACAGAGGTAATGGGTAACACTACACTGGTTGTAATATAACTGAGGTAACGGGTAGCACTGCACCAATTGTAATATAACTGAGGAAATGGGTAACACTGCACAGGTTGTAATATAACTGAGGAAATGGGTAACACTGCACAGGTTGTAATATAACTATGGTAATGGGTAACACTGCACTGGTTGTAATATAACTGAGGTAATAGGTAACACTGCACCGGTTGTAATATAACAGAGGTAATGGATAACACTGCACCGGCTGTAATATAACAGAGGTAAATGGTAACTGCACCGGTTGTAATATAACTAAGGTAATGGGTAACACTGCACCAGTTGTACTATAACTGAGGTAATGTGTAACACTGCAGCGGTTGTAATATAACAGAGGTAATGGGTAACACTGCACCGATTGTAATATAACAGGGGAAATGGGTAACACTGTACCGGTAGTAATATAACTAAAGTAATAGGTAACACTGCACCGATTGCAGTATAACAGAGGTAATGGGTATCACTGCACCGGTTGTAATATAACTGACGTAATGGTAACACTGCACCGGTTGTAATATAACTAAGGTAATAGGTAACACTGCACCGGTTGTAATATAACAGAGGTAATGGGTAACACTGCACCGGTTGTAATATAACAGAGGTAATGGGTAACACTGCACCGATTGTAATATAACAGAGGTAATGGGTAACACTGTACCGGTAGTAATATAACTAAAGTAATAGGTAACACTGCACCGATTGTAGTATAACAGAG